TCCCCCCCCCCCCGGCCCAATTCCTCGTCAAAATTAATAAACAACGCTACATGGGATGCCCCTTGAATTTATCTCCAAGTAAATACTTCAACTAGCTTTACCACCTCAAAAAAAAAAACCCTTCAACTAACCTTTGGTTGGAATTATAGGTATAATTTTACCCTCGCCTTTCTCAATATTATTATAAATGATATATTTAGTATTAATATTGTCAATGATTCAAATGCTAATCCACGGCATAAGACATTTAGCCTATATCATGATTATTGTCTTTGCTACATATCAAATTAGATTAAAACAAGATTGCATGTTCTAAAGTCATTCAATCAAATTTTTTTTTTTTTAATTTAAATTGTTCTGATTTTAGGTTTAAACCATCCCATGGTTTTTAGTTTTACTGTTCACTCCATCACTATGAGCACTTGTTTTCTGAGACTCTTTAGGCTTCTGACAGCAAATAACATTCAAACTGGACAAACACAAACCACTGGGAATCAAGTTGTTGTCCTCTCAACCTCACTGACTCACTGTTTGTATCTTAAAATTTGGGCAATTGACAATTTTTCTACTTAAAAGTATGTGGCAAGTTTTTAATTCGTTCAATATTCAATAGCAACAAGGGTTAGTCATTTTTTCCAATAGAGATATGCTTTAGTTCAGTTCAAATCACGGTGATAATTAATTGTTCAACTTGAAATGCATACATACCTAACTTTTAGTGGAAAAAAAATAGAAGAAAAAACCAAGACCCCACAAAAATAATGGTCCCTTTCTCTCCCTGGTGTTTCTCAGCACCGACAAAACAAAATGCATAATATACATCACATGGTCAAAAAGGGGCCCACATCGTGAAGCCATTAGCTGTTGTATCAGTGACTATTTGTTTTGTTTTGTTTTATTNATGCATAATATACAACACATGGTCAAAAAAGGGCCCACATCATGAAGCCATTAGCTGTTGTATCAGTGACTATTTGTTTTGTTTTGTTTCAATCTCTACTGTCGGCAAGGCAACCATTCAAAGATAATCATCATGTCATAATGTTTATATGATGTTTAAATAAAGGCATTAGCAACAGAAAAATACGTCCAACATTAAATTTGAATACAAATCGTGATGTGCATGATTTTATCTTCAAATATTGTAGTCGATTTTAAAAATTATAATTTCCAAAGATTAAGTAAGGTAATTTTACCTGACCAATATTATTGAAATTTAATTTATTGATATATTTTTTGACTGTAAATCATATTAAATATAAAATTTTGATATTAATTTAATGATTACAATAAAATCACATTCAAATCAATTTTTTAAATTTTAATAGCATTACTCAATTTACCCACTAAACACTATTGGCAAAACTAGAAAGGGAACGCGTTCATTTACACGGACCAATTCATGCACTTGCCCCTTGTTTGAATAAATTTTGTGGAGGAGTTTGAATTAGTTTTTTCGAATCTTTCCAAATCTTTCATAAATGGGATTCAATATTTAATTCAGTTCATACTTATATTTGATATGTAACACACACATGTAAAATTATGGATATATCATAATTATTAACAACTATTTATTTTATAAATGACTATTTTACTTTTAATCAATTCAATTCTCAAACTCACCCTCCTCCCAGATTTGACGAAATCTATAATCATGAAGATAATTTTTTGGCTAATTACTAGCCTGAGTTTAAAAACCTAATACTTAATTTTCCAAATAAACAAGGGATTTGGGACAACTTTAAACTAGTATTTTCTTTATACCCATTTTCCCAAACTCTCTCATACTTTTTTACCAAACAGCCCTCTGGTCTTTACCTTCGATTCTAGTCGGGACTCGTGAGGGTAAAGGGCATNTCTTTATACCCCTTTTCCCAAACTCTCTCATACTTTTTTACCAAGCCCTCTGGTCTTTACCTTCGATTCTAGTCGGGACTCGTGAGGGTAAAGGGCATAAATGCCGGGACAGATCAGGAATTTCTGGATTACCATTTACCAAAAACCAACAAAAAGGGAAAAAAGAAAAGAAAATACAGTTCGCATAGCGAGTAGCTGTCTGTCACTTTCGTGGACGACAGTCATTTAACAGAGGTGTAAACGACTTCAAAAAGTCTGCTTAACTCTTAAAACAATCTTGCCATGTGAGAGAAGCCACCACTCAGGCACTCACCAGCACCGCGTTCTTTAGTCTTTCTCTGTTTCATCACTGCGGTTGTAGATCTTGAACACCAACTGATCTAGAAATCGCCACAATCATTACAACAAGAAATGGATTTTGGATTCGGATCTGTATCTAAGTACACCACTATTGCCATTGTACTAGTGATCTTGCTTTCTTGGAGCAACTTTACTTCCACAGGTTTGCACAAATGTTCTTTTAATTCATCGAATCTTTGTAGATTTTTGGGTTTCGGTGGTTTCTTGATATGTTTTTAAGTTCTTGAATAGATTTGATCTCATTTAATAACACACTGGCCTTTTTTGGGTGCCCAATTGACTGATGATTGAGAGGCATTTGTGTGATTTCAAAAGTTTGTGTATGGAATGGAGAATGAGGCCATGGATTCACTTATATCATCTAAAAGTTGAGAGATTTATGTTTTTCTGATGGGCAAGTTAAGGTGTTGGAGAGGGTTCTGAGATTTAGCTTTTATTTTAGCTTCAAATTTTGAAGTGTGTTTTAGCAAAAATAGAGACATTAAGAAATTCGATTGCAAAGAGAAAGTTTAGTTCTTCTGGCTTTTCATTCTGAGGAAAAAGGGAAGATAACCTCCAGATTGGATCTAGAGTATCCCCCAGAATTTAATTAATCAGTTTAATTAAGGTTAACAAGTTACTTTATTTTCTTTTTAATTCCATTTCTTTCTCTTGGTTGCAAACCAATATTTTGCAGGGGAATTTATTTTGCTTTTGAAAATAAGGAATGATTTGAAACCTGATGCTATACCTTTCTTGTCCTTTGGGTGAAGCTGGCCTAGTTTGGATGGCGGGAATGAGGGACCACAAATAAAATGCTATTACCTGAAATAGTAATGCACTTTCAAATGTTGTGTCATTCACGTGTTCGGTTAGAGCATGATTTTTTTTCTAATTATTAGTAATGTATGCCAGATAGAATATGAGATTACCATACTATCAGGTGTTCTTAGCAATAAAGGTAGGACCGTAAGAGTGATACTGAATAAGGATGAGATGCCTAGTCCTGTTCATCATTCCCAGGTGTAGATACTGGCTGCCCTACTCTATCGGTTGTTATCAGATTCTTAGTATGATTATTTTATGGGAAGGGTTTGGTTGAGAATTAAATGATTTTTTTTGCAACATGTGCCATATTGGTTATTTATCTCTGTTTTTTCTTTCTGAATGCTTGA